CCCCAGTGACTCGCGCAATTTTCTCGCAGTTGGCAAGCATTTGGTAACGGAACGCGGGATTTCCTAATTCCAATTGAATAGGTCTAGCGTTTCTCTGCTGCAGGCTTCCTACAGGGTCGATCCATCGGCCGATCCTCTGTACCTTCTTACTTAGTGCAGGTGAGGGTACCCCAGCAAGTCTCAAAAGGACCCGGACTTTCCATTCTACGTCTGCCTGGGCTTTTGCATGCCGTATAACCAGCTCCTCATTGTGAGGATGTTCCAGTTTCGGCCCATTGCGATGTCGTTTTCCTTCTGGAGAAGCGAAAGCTCCCTCTCTAGCGCGGTAACTTTCCCTTCTGGCTCTTCTACGATTTTTCTCAGATCTAACTGCAAATCCAGTGATTTCAGGATTTTCCCTCCGGTATTGCCTACATTGGAAGTGGATTTTCTACCGGCACCCTCTGCCAGTGCTAAGGATATGTAGCAGAGCAACTGCAAGGTCTGGTTACCCACTGAGGCTTCGAAGGCGGTTACGATCGACGCGGGCACACCCTGGGTGGTAACATTGCTTAGTATAGTTCAGTTCAGTTTGCACAGGACAGAAAATGGTCACGGCATCCAGAATTTCGTTCGGTCGGATGTGGTCAAGTATGACACCCACCACTGCGAACAGTAACCCGTAACTTTCTGGCTGAAAAGAAGAAAATGAAAAATGCCTCAACTCACCTCCAAGGCGAGAGATTGTTATTCGTGAGCGTTCATCTTCCAGGCTACATCCTAATTATTGGCAGGACGAACAGAAAACATGCAACCTGAGTGTCCCGCTCCTACTACTGGTTTTCTTAAGCCACTAGATGGATGGTCAGACATCCACTTCAGGAACAAGTTCAGACCACCGTTCGTCCAGGGCCGTTTGAATGCTAGCACAGTCTGCAGTTCTACTATCTCCACAGGTGGTCTGTTCCAACTGTTGACTACCCTGTTTCTGGAGAAGTGTTACCGGGCAATCAGTCGAGGCCGGGCCTTGGCTAGCTTCATTTTGTGTCCCCTTGTACGGTAATCTAGTGCTTCCTGGAATAGGGTTTTTGGTCCAATACCAGATAAGCCTTTCATTATCTTAAGCGTTTTTATCACGTCTCCCCTGTGCGTTCTCTTTTCTAAAGAGAATAGTCTCAGGTCCTGAATCCTCTGCTTGTATTCTTTACCACACTGACCGTCAAGGACTTCCGTTGCTAGCCGTTGAACCCGCTCTAAACAGGCGGCATCCATTTGAAGAAAAGTAACCATGCCTGGATACGATGCTCCAGGTGGGGTCTTACTATGGCCTAATCCAGCGGCATGAATACCTCAGGTATACGGCACCACAACGCTGACCTTCGTCTGAATAATTCACCTCTAGCTTTTTGTGCCGCTCTGGCACATTGATTCAACCACCTAAGATCAGTGGTTACCAAAATTCCTAGGTCTTTTATATTTTTTGCCACTTCCATGGTGAAGAAACTTACCTCAACATCGAATGGTCATTTAAGTTTTTACATATATGGGACTTGATGATCCTTTCTAGCCTCTTGTAAAGAATGCTAGTAAGGCTTACCGGCCTTTCTGGATGGTTCCTAACCACATCTTCCGTGAGACGCAAGTTGTCTATAACTACCGGAGGAGCTGCCTGGTTCCATGTTGCAGGCGCACCGTTAATTCTACGATAAACACTGCTAGAGTAGAGACTTAGCTTGTTCACTTTTGTTTTGTTCACTGCAGAAACGGATTGCCTTCCGGTCTTCAGCGGCCCCACGCCATCCCTGAGTGTCGCTTTGGATTGTACATACCCGTAATATTTCTTAGATTGGTTCTTGGCACATTTGGCTAGCCTAAACGCACAGTCACGTTTCGCTGTTTGCATCAAGTTAACCGCTGCGTTCCTGAGAGCCGTGTAGCGCGTCCAAGCTAGGCGGCTCTCAGAAATTTTTCACAATTGCCAATTTCGGTTTCTACGCTTGAAGGCCTTGTTTATCGCCAATCGCCACCAGGTCAGTTTGGTTAAGTGCCATCTGGGTTTAAACGGCGCGAATTCATCTTGGAGTATGTGCAGAGATTTCTTAATTATTCCCCATAGCGAATTCGATACTGGTTGCCTCTTCGTCCCAGGCTAGTTAGGCTGCTCTGCTACGGAGATCTACGTTCATAGCTCGAACGTTTCTGGTCATTCTAGTGGTGACTTCCGGATGCTGCATGCATATTCAAAGTCTCATGCATATATGAGCACTCTTACATAACGGTGGGAGTAACTTAAAATCTGTGACATCCGTACGGTGCTTTGTAGTCACCAGATCCAGTAGTGAGGGAAAGCAGTCCATCCTGTATCTGATGTTTTCTTTTACGTTTGGCCTCATTGCCTTTTTAAGCAGCCACTCCAGGAATGCTTCTTCCTGTGTTCCCGATGGGCTCATTTTAAGCTCTCAATCTCTATTTGGAATGTTGAAATCGCTCCCTATCAGATTCTTACCAGGTTCTTACACTAGGTCTGTGGGGGCTCGAAGGAGGTTAATATCCTCTTCAAGACTCGAACTAGGGTAAACACATGGCACGTTAACCTTACTCTTCGGAAGGATCAGTGTGACAGTGCATACTTGAAGATTACTGGTGCATGCCCTGACCTGGGATTCGAGGTGGCTTATGCCCTCCCTAATGAAGATGGTTACTTCCCTTCCCAGAGAGCCATGCTATCTATCCTGTCTGCAAATTGCATAGCGCTCTCGAGAGACTCATGGTACGTGATCATTTCTAAATAATCAAGTTTCTGTGACCGCAACTACCCCTGCGCTGCATTCACCAGCCACTTTAAAGAGCTCCATCGATTTGTTACGTATGTTGTATGTACTGATGTATCGCACAAGTTCTTCCGTTCCCCGTACTTGGTTTCCTATAATATGTGGGTTTTCGGGTGCCTCGGAAACTAAACTTGAGGGGACGCCTAGTTTTTGCAATCAAAGGGAGTGTTGACTGGGATCTCCGACGGAGTGTGTTGTCTCTTCTAATGGGAGTTGCCGGATCTATATTCCTCAATACTTTGCTGTTGTTTCCAACCAGGTCGTTGTCTGGTTGATCACAGCTTACCCAGGTATTGTTCTTCAGTAAGTCTGCTATAACAACTACTCCCTTTGGAGTGTTCGTGACCGGTTGGCACTCCACGGCAAACCAACCTTCCTGCGTTGGGCCTCGCTGTCTTTACGACCAAAGGACTGTCTTCGTTATTTTAGTCTGTGTTTTCTGAGCATAGTTCTCGTTGCCTCCTCCGACCTAATGCTACACCTGCCCTTCGTTATCTGGGCTATTGATACTGCCTTGGCTAACACTTTATCCCTAATTGCCTCGCTGCAAAAGTGGACCAAGATAGGCCCCGCCATAGACGTCCCGGATTTTGCAACCTGGGGTTTCCATACACCAACTCGGTGGACCCGCTTATGAGTGACGGGGAGTAGGTCCCTGCTATTCGCGGTTTGTCGAACACTCGTCGTCTATCCATTTCCTTTCTAACCTTACACTTCCTACTGAGGGGTTCTTCCCGATGCATAATCAAGAGTCTACAGGCGGCACTCCTTTCCATGTTATTAATTTGCCTTTCGAAGACCCCTACCTTGTTTTCTAGCTTTGGGTAGATAGAAGTGGCGCAATTGGTGGGACTTTGCATCGATGTCCCCAACACTCGGTTATAGTTCACCCGAGCCGAAGCCCATTTCCGTGCACATCGCATCCGCTCACACACGATTATGTATTCTCACATATTCATTTCCCTATCCACGGACATTCTGGAGCAAGTGTTCCAGTTCATTATCCTCATGCCTAAAAATCACTCACCCGCCCAACTAAAAGAGGCGTTATTCAACGGCACAGCTGTGTTGCATAAACACCGATTGGACGAGTTGTTTGGTGATCTCAAAATTGACGATCGCACTCCGTTCCATTCACATGCGGCAGCTTCTTGGTACCAGAATTCTAGACGACGCAATTCTCCGCCATCTTTGGTTGAAGCACCTTCCTCCACGCATCCGTGAAGTTCTGTCTATCCTCTCTATTTTTGGTCGACCCTGAAACTAAACTATGCGTGATTCCCCGTACGGCACACTACCGCTACCTATAACCAATCGCTGTCACCCTACAAGCAGTCAATAGTAGTCGCATTCACACCTAGTTTGTCGCTCCAACACCGCTGAACCTGGTTTAAGACGACAATTAAGGTGGATTTTCACCGTTGCTAATGTTCACACTACCATCATTACTGTTGATCTTTTGTCTGCCTTTGGTCCCGCTGTTGATAACTACTAGGACATCTCCATTTCATTATCTTTTAGTGCCCGGGCAGCGCGCATTTGTTCCAGGGGATTCCGACTACCAGAAGCCGAATAATCCGTCTTCTCCGATATTCTTCCTGAGCTTTCAGAGCTGACAAGGCCCTCCTTCGAACATGCAAGTTTTACTCACGAGGTGACCTACACCATCATCACCGACGGCCAACCCGTCACCCCCAGACCTCGCCGACTCACACCTGAGAAATTGGCTACGGTTTGCGCAGAGTTTGACCACATGCTTCAACTTGGTATCATTCGTCCATCCAACTCCTCTTGGTCTATTGGCAAATGTTATCAAAAACTCCCTGATGATTGGCGTTCTTGTGGCGACTAAAGAGCACTAAAGAACTCCACTAGACCCAACCGGTATACCATCCCACATATTCATGATTCCGCACGCACCCCTCACTCAAAACAGATTTTTTTCTAAAATCCACCTTGTGCGTGCGTACTGACACATTCCAGTGGCTGAATCAGACACTCCTAAGACAGCAGCCATGACCCTATTTGGTATGTTACAATTTTTACGAATATATTTTGGTTTACGTAATTCATGACAAACATTTTAATGTTTTATGGATCAGGTAAACCGAGGACTTGACTTTGTTTTTGTTTATTTGTATGATATTTTGATGTCCGGCACTCCGCCTCAAGAGCACAGCCCCCACTTGCGCATTTTATGGGGTCACACTGAAACCATCTAAATACATTTTCGGTGTCTTATCCTTAGAATTTCTAGGTTATGATATTATTTCGTGGAGCATTCTCCCACTGTCTTCTCAGGTTACAGCCATTCAGGACCTTCCCGTCCAATTTCTGTCAAACCACTTAAATCAATTTTGGGTTTGATTAATTACTATTGTCGTTTTATCCCCAATTGTTCTGTTGTCCTTCGTCTTCTCACTCATTTGCTCGGCGGTAACGCAAAGGACGTTATCTACACTTTTGATGCGCTTAAAGCGTTTGACACCGCCAAATCAACCTTCCAGGACGCCATCATTTTGTTTCACCTTAACTCATCGCCATCCTTTTAACCGGTGCCACACACCAACGCGTTGATTCATGCTGTTGAAGTGGCACTTCATCAGAAAGTTATAAATGTCTAGCATCCCTTGGCCTTCTATTCACAGAGGCTTCCACCATCCCAAACTAACTACAGCACCTTTGGCGGCGAATTACTGGCAGTTTGCCTTACCATTTGACATTTGCGCCACCCCGAAGATAGCCAAATCGACGTCATCACCGATTACAAACCACTGACGTTTGTTTTCCGTGCACGTTCAGATCGCTCCTCTCCGCGTGAACATTGTCACTTGGATTTTATTTCTTAATTTTCCACCGATACCCGACACATCAACGGATCGGGAAACACCGTCGCAGATGCTCGCTCTCGGCTGAATATCAACAGTATGATTACAGTATCCGCTATCATTCTTCAGACCATTTCTCAACATCAATCCAGCGACCCTCATTTCGGAGACCTGCTCAAATCCACCACACTACATTGCACGCAAGTACCTCTTCTACATTCAACATCCACCATTTTCTGTGATACTTCCTCTGGACACCCTCAACCCATTATACCGGTAAGTGTGCCTCAACCCGGGACCACTGGGCGCCAGTCTCGAACCCGAGAGTCACTTCAAGACTTTAATACAACCCATTTTTACGCATTTTTATTCATTGTCGCACCCCAGTGTTCGTTCAACGTTACGTCTGATTCCTGAGCGTTACGTTTGATCCAGCGAGAACAAAGACGTCTGACAATGGGCAAAACCTCGTTTGAAGTATCAGTGAAATAAGATTACCGCCACATTTTTTCGTCCCCAGGTCACTTCCCCGTCTCAGACACACGTTTTTATAATGTTCATATTAACCTTGTTGGCCCACTTCCAATTTCAAATGGTAAGACGTATCTGTAAACATGTCTCGACCGTTTCACACGTTGGCCGGTGGCTGTTCCTCTGGCAGAAATTTCCTCTGAGTGCGTCGCATAACATTTCCTATCACGCTGGATTTCCCATCACACTGAGTTTCCATCACGGTGTTCCCCATAATATAACCACTGATAGAAGCGTTCAATTCCAATCTGCGCTTTTTCGTGATTTCACACGGCTGGTTGCGAACACACCCGGACCACTGCTTACCTCTCCGCAGTAAACAGCTTAGTTGAACGTTTTCACCAACAACTCAAAGCCTCATTTCGCGCACACAAAGATCCTCGCTGGACCGAACGCCTTCCACTCACTCTCCTAAGCATTGGCTCCGTCATCAAAGAAGATATCGGTTGTGCGGTTGCAGATTTGGTTTAGGGAACTACCCTTCCGTCTGTCTGGTGATTTGTTTCAGACCCCACCGTAAACCCCTTTTTCGCCATTGACGTTTTCCGAACGATTGAGAGACCATATTGTGCATGCAAAACCAACTCCAAAACGCCAACAGAAGTGGACTGCAAAAATGTCTGATGATTTGCACACATTTGGACACGTTTTCATTCTTTGCGACGCCACACATTGACCGCCTCAGATACCATACACCGGGCTATACAGAGCAATTTTCTGTTCCTATAACACTTTTGTTTTGGATCGCAAGGGAGCGCATGACTCGGTAAGCATCGGTCGTTTAAAACCCACGTATTTCGATTTGTCATTCGATTTACCCATCACTCAATCTCCACATGTTGTTCCCTCACCAGTTATTCCCAATACATTCCCCACACCAAGTCACCCAACAGGCACAACTCACAATTCTCCACCTATCCCACCTTCTACACCTACATTCAAACAACGCGTCTTGGTAGAAAAGTGCGCTTTCTTGTTCATTTACTTGGACAAATCGCTTTTACTCCTACGATTATGGAGTATTTAGCTTGCACTTTCACTCTTGAAAGGGTTCCCATAGTGTCCTACTTTTCTGTCGATTTTTCTATGACACTATTGTACAACTTGTTTTAATATGCATTTTTAGTAACAACGCAATGCAAACTCTGTTCGTAACTACGTACGTGTTCTCCGAGTGTTGCTGAAGAATTAAGCGTACATCATCAGTTATCGTCAATCGGTCCGTTACCTAACGCAGTCATCCTTTTCGGCTCCACTGAACATTATCAACCGGAACCACACTTCCGAGGCACGGGACCCATGAACCAACCGAACAACCTTTCTGTTAGTCCTTTCCATGTATCTTTAATTTCATTAATATTAATTTATTTACTATCTTTTCTACTGCACATCACTAAAGGTGCGGCGCGACTGCAAACAAGTGATTGTGGCTCTCATTTGTAATGTGTTTAACCCATTTTAGGCTGAAAAATATCGTTTCTCCGGCATTCGTCGGAATTTGTGCGGTCGAGATAGAGTAATGAGTAATGAAACGCGTTTTCGGAATATGTTCCTCTGATCTAGTATTTTGTCGTGTTCATCTAGTTAAGGATATGAAGGAAAAATGTATCCGGTATGCTAACGTTCAAAAAACAGCGCATCTTACAATGGACGTGGAACATAATGTATTGTGATAATGAGGTATGCATTTCAAGATTCCTAGCCACCGTAGAAAGTCGTAATACAGAAGCGGTGGCTATTTTTACCGAACTTGGTTACCATAAAGAGAACAGTGGGCAGGATATGCAATGAGGACTAGGTTGACTTTAGGAAACCCAACTTCCTACCCAGAAGATAGGCATCTCAATACAGGCTCGTTTTCTCAATCTTCATTAATGGATGTATTTGAGAAAGTGCTACAACGAGTAAGGTCTTTGAAAGTGACGCATGGAAATCACCTTACTAAAGATTCCATGAGGGGGTATCTGATCCCCAGCGGGATGCCATCGTTTGAACCGTTACTCACATGGGTATATATTATTATTATTATATACTATTTAGTATGTGAAAATCATATAAGTCTGAAGGAATCCTTTACGAGGGAGGGTTCTTCCTGGTAGTGGATAGTAAGAGCAAGAGTCATGAAGCAGTTACCGCCGCTAAAACAAATTGAGTATAATTTTTTACGCAATGGTTGTTGCCCTGTCTGCATATAGCCTGGGTAGTCGATCTGATTAATTTGAATCTTCACAGTCTTATTCCAGATAGATGGAGTATGAATCGCAGCGAAAGGCGTTCAGACCAGGAACTGGAGAACATCGCAGTGGTAATAGTGGCCTCAAGAAACGTCATGGGTAAGACATCAAAGTTCGCTCAAATAGAGGTCCTTCAAGAAATAGTCGTTACTTTAAACAGTTTAGGTATCGTCCACTACGGTTTTCAATATAATCAACTCTACCGCTTAATAGCTATGATAGGGAAGTACCCGTCCATCCAGATATTTTTCAAGAGACAGGGATCAGCAACACAGACTAAGGAGAGTAAGCTTATCTATCTTCCGTCTACGAGCATCAATTTAAGGGCCGATAATCCTCCAGTGGCGTAAAAAAGCGGTTTGCTAGAAAAGCAGAAATCAGTTTTAGTGAGTAGAGTTGTCGATAGTGATGACGATGAAATAGTCTCAGGTGACCCACTGGAGCAATTAGCATTCCAAAGACAGACTGTTACGGCAATCCGAACAATGCTCAATACGAATTGCAATATCTCGACTTCGACTGACCAAAGTACCAGCACGTAGGAAAACAGTTGAACGACAGTTGAAATTTCGTTTCTATCAATACCAATTGGCGACTTATGAAACCGTCGTAGATCCCAGTAACAAAAGGA